GACATTCTGTCTTGTCTCTAGGTCTCTGAAATATGTAGAGAAACCTCTGAAACTTCTGGCTAAATATTTGTCTACATTTATTATACTCACATTTTATCCCCTTATTATGTTCTTGGATGTACTGAAGACTGACTTCACATTAAAAATTGCATATTTTTTAGGTTATATATGATATTTCTTTGTTGCTTTATATGTCCCTCCCCCATGGTATAACCCCTGTTTTTACTGTGTTTGATGTAGGTATAATTTGTGGAGGGGAAGGTGGACCCATGCCAACAATGAGATGTACAAGACGTTATGTCAAAAAATGAACTTTACAACTTTGGCTGGGGCGGGGGGCTGGAGGGGAATGATGGGAAGGGATGATAAGGGAAAAGAAGAGGCAAAAATGTTTGATAAGAAATGTACTCATTACCTTGCCCATGTAATTGTAACCCCTCTGTAAAGTATTTTCACAATAAAAAAAGAGTAAAACTGAGAGTTTATGATGGAAAATGTTTTTCTGTGTTTCAGGTATTTCTTCTTTTTTATGTCAGAGGAATTATTTATACAAATTACTAAACTATTTACTGCTAGCTTTTTAACCTGTACAATTTAATATGTAGCATTCTTCATTTTTTCCCCAAAAATTGTTTTGTTTGATCTTAGGGGAATAAATTCTTTGTATTGTTTTATTTTCTTAAAATAATTTATATATTGCGCTACTTTACTTCTCAAACATTAGGAGAAACAGGATTTTCTAACTTTGGAAATTAAACCTTTTTTATGCAAACCTTTGCTTTCACCTGAGAATAAAGTTTTATACCACATTTATTCAGTTATAAGTTCTCACTGTGAATTATTTTAAGTATCTTTAGAAATTTTAAAATTTGTTTCCCTACATCTTAGACAGAATCTCATCAGACTTTTAAACCCTCAGACTCATGAACTAAAGCCACATCAGCTCACCACCTAATTAATCATTCTCTCTAGACTGAAAGCTTTGGTTATGTATCCTTGCCTCTACCCTCCTTATCCTTATCAGAGGATAGCAGCCTTGGCATAGTAATTTGCTATACCTGCCTAGTCCTAGTTTCAAAGAAAAGTAAATCTCACTTTTCACAATTTTAATTTTCTTTTTTCAAAATAATTTCCACAAAGAGAAAGAGTTGCTAACTTTACCTTTACTGCCCTACACAGTTCAGTGTGCATCTACATGCATTTTTGATTCACAAGTCTAACACAAAGATCACCTAGTTCTTTGCTACACATGGGACTCACGGGAATTAGGAATATTATTGGTCAGTACATAGCAAGACAAATTTACCAATTTGGTTCTGGATCCAAGATCACTATGCAAGATCCTTTAACTCACCTGAGAAATTCTTGTCTGAAGCTTCTCTCATATATGGCTCTTCATCTTGCTCCAGCTTGACAATCAATTGAGGTTTAGGACCAGTGTGCCCTGTTAATAAGAGTGAAGACCTATTGCTCATGCTGTGTCAAAATTGTTTTAAGATTTCAGATATCCTGTTAACAAGGTTGCTCCCAAATCTTCTTTCATTGCTCATTGGCTCCATGGTTGAATTTCCCCGAGGTTTGAATTACTTTTGCAGGTTGTGTAACTTGAATGCGATTCTTTTTCTCAAGGTTAGCATTCTATTACTTTGAGTCCTAGCTCCATTTCCAGTTTAAGGGTGGTTATCTTGAGATAAGACTCTCATGGAGACTTCACTGGCATTTTTTGCTTCAAACTGAAAGCTTCAGATTTTAGACTTCTAAGAATTACAGGCATGAACCACTGCATCTAGTGCTAGGTTTGGATTATAAATACTTCCTCTAATCTAGTGATTTCCAGTTCATACTTCCAATAATGATAAATAGGTATGTATGTTTGTTTGTATGTATGTATGTATATATGTATCTGTTTTCTAGATTGTATATCCACCCACAATAATCACCTCAAGTTGGGGAAGACAGTCTTCTCTTTACGGAAGACAGTTTGGAACTTTTGTCAAACTGCTGATTTGGATTCTTGAACAATGAAAATAAATTTGCCTCAGAATGTATATAATCTACCTGAAGCTTTCATTCGAAACAAATGACACTTCCCACAGACTGGAATATTACATCCAAATAGCATTGAAAGTTCTATAAATATTCACATATCTACTAAAAACAAATCATTTTCCGGGCACACCTGTAATCCTAGCTACTCAGTAGGCTGAGATCTGAGGATTGCCATACAAAGACAGCACTAGTAGGAAAGCTGTGAGATACTTATCTCAAATTTAACCACCAGAAAACTTGAAGAGGCACTGATGCTCAAGAGGTAGAGTGCTCACCCTGAACTGAAGAGCTGAGAGGTACTGTACCAACCCCCAGAGGTCAAGCCCTACTTAACTTTTCAAGTTAATGTGATATTTTTGGCTCACCTAAGGACACCAGCATGCTATAGGTTTCCAGCATCACATCTCTATACAGGGTCCTCTGAGAAATATCCAATTCCTGCCACTCCTCCCAGCTGAATTCCACAGACACATCATCAAATGACACCAGCTTCTGTAAGGGCACATTCCATCAATCCCTGAGTCATGAGAACACCAAAGCTAGAATTTCATTCTTCCACTTGTGTGCTTTTGTATTATAGAATGTGGTTGGAACTTTCTGTGTTATTTATAAAATGAGAGAAAATATAATCAAAGTAGAAATATTTGCCTCCATAGTAACTTGGTAATTACACATACAAAGTTTTTCTAATACATAAGAGCACATCTCTGGTTCCAGCAATAAAGACAAGAAAACAGAACTAAGAAGCTAATAACCTAGCAAGACAACAATAAGTATAAGTAGGAGTCTGAAAGTGTGTGTTTAGCTTATTTTGGTAATATTTACTACATATCTGGGAACAGTGAAGTAAATAAATATGTTTTCTGCATTTTCATATTCTGCCTCACTGACAATACTATTTAGATTTTCTATTAAATAGTGCACTCATAAACAGTCACAACATAGTCATTACATCATATGGAATACATAACACATTAGTAGAGCTATGAAAAGCACAGCATCCAGGTGAACGTTAAAAGGAGTAAAATTACTCAAAAAATAGTAAATGAATGATTTGTCTCTCATAAGATTTGACTTAGTTCTCACAATAAAACATACGATGTTAATCATTTTTGTTATTAAATTTCTAGATATAAA